CTCTGCCGACCGAGCTCTTCGCCGATGATGGGCGAGCCGCACAGGAAGACTCCAATGTGTTCCCCTTGATGCTTCTCACGGTTCTGCTTGAAGATCCGGCCCCAGTTGGGCCGGCCAAAGAACTGACCAGAGGCGCAGGGAAGCTTCTTCACCTGCTTGAGCTCGATCTCGCCAGTTAGAAATAGCGTGATGTCGACAACACCTGCCGCTGGACCTTCTGCAGCCGCCGAGAGCAGGTCGTAGAACCAGTCGAACTCCTCCTGACCACGGCAGATCCAGTAGAAATAGATCTTCTTCGGAATCGGGATCAAACTTTCCACCATCCTGCTTGTTTCCTTTTCGCCTGAGCCTCGCCCGCCTCGGAGCAGCGTCTCGCGCTGCTTGGCACGGAGCTGGACCGATCGAAGAATGGAGGCAAATGGCGTGACGCCGATGCCGGCACCCACTGCCATCAGTGTATCGAAACCCCAGACTTTCTGTGCAGGAGCACCAAAGGGTCCAGTAACTTGGAGCATGACCGCCTCAGGAGGGAGCAAGCCGGCGGGAGGATTGCTCATAAAGCTGACGCCAGACTGCGATGCTGGATCTCCTTGCCGGAGCTTGGGCGGCTTCCCCTCGGGCTCGGAAGCTCCTGTTGGCAGTGACGGTGGAGAGACCTGACCTGGGAGCGCCGGCACCTTCTCCGCGGGGACTGCAGCGTTGAGCTTGTCGGCCCGGCCCTCGCCAAGGCCCTGGTCTGCGGGCACATTGTAGACGATGTGGCTGTTCGGAAGCACCTTGTTACAGTACTCGAAGATTTTTGGAGCCTTCGGCGGCTTCTCTGACATAGGCTCGCCTTTCGCCTGCGCAGGTGCCTCCTCTGTGAGGCGTTTTCGCAGGGCGGAGCACCAGTCGAGGTTGCTGGCTGCCCGAATATGCACGGAGATGCAGTTCTCCTCAGGAGCCGAGGTCAACGTGAACGGGTGCCACTCGCCCTTCCAGCCCAGGAGGATGTACTGGCCTGCCTGGTAGACAAAGCCCTGCGGAATCTCGAATGTTAAGCCAATCACATCGCGGGGCAAAAGCTTCACCTGCTTGAGGGACAGGTTGAGCGCCTGGCGATTTGCAAGAAGAAGGCGATCGACGAAAACAAGGATTGCCGGGAAGAAAAACCAAATCCACAGCCGTGTCGGTGCATGCACCAGGAGCAGTACGTAAATGAACTTCCAGGACATGTGCACCCGCCAAAACAAGTTGAATCCTCCGAAACGCCGTGAACAGCAGTTGGTTTTGCGGCGGGAGCAAGGAAGTGCGGTCACCAGGATTGCAGCCATGAGCACGGTCAGAACCAGCCCGGTGAGGACGGCACAGCGGTTTGAGAAGTTCAGTAGCTGATGGAAGAGAGTCATCCCACTAGTCATCTCCTCGGCGCTCAGCTTCCACAAGTGCAGGGGGTCCAGTTGCATCAGTGGGGCCACTTTGATGGAGTATGCGTGCACACAGTGAGCTCCAATGTGGATGGCAGCCCCTAGAAATGTGAAGCCGGCGATGACAATGTGGAAGCTGATCGGATCATCGATTGGAATCCATTCTCGCGATGAACTAACACCCCTTGTGGCCGTTTGCAAGCTCTTCAATGTGGGCAGCACCAGCATTGCAAAGTTCAAGTCCATACTGTACCCACCGCCCTTCGCCAACGGATATGCCCAAGAGCCCTGGAAGCCTCCATTGAGATTGGAGATGAAGCCAATGAAGAAGACGAGCACGTTCAACACACCATACAGCAGCGTAGTTAGCCGCTGCTCACCGAGTCCGCATCGCCGGAAGCAGCGATTCAGGGACTGCGCCCACGTCATTTTCTCCTCGGGCATCGCCATCTCAGCAGCCTTCTCAGCGGCTGTCTCTTCATCACTGGCATAGCCGTTGACTTTTTTGGCCCACTCTTTCCTGTTCTTGGCAATGATCTGACGCCGCTGCTCTAAGAGCTGCTTCATCCGCTCCTCCTTCAAGATCCAGCGCAGGATGCGTGGGCGATACCTCGACGAGCAAAGCCAGTGCTCCGGATGCCTCAAAGCATACAGGGCCGACAAGAGGTACAGGATGAGGAGCACTGCCAAGGCCACACCTACGCCCAGGATGACATTTTCGTAAGCCTCGAGCTGAAAGCCGGTCACGCTGATGGTGGCTTTGTGCGATCGATTGGTGAAGTCATTGTTGCGCGTGCTGGCAACGTGGTGTGTGCCAACAGTCTTCATCTCGACAAGACCACCATCGAAGTATGCCGATGCACCATTCAGCTGCTTGCAATTTGCCTCGTCGTTGTCATTGTTTGACTCTGGGTCGCAAGTGACGATGCTGTCCTGATCAAGGTATGCGAACTTCTCGACCAG